AAAAAAAAAAAAAAAAAAAGATGTACAAAGAATACTAAGGAGGCAAGGTGATGCTAACTACAAGGCATGACTCCAAGAACATAATGGTTTTAGCATATAACATCAAGAACAATATCTATTCCATATAAGGAAAGCAGAACTTTTTTCCAACATTCTAAATGTTCAAAAGAATTTACACATGAACACAATACAAAAATGGAGGGTTTGGGAATGATCCCCAACAAATATAGATATAAAAATATGCACCTGCACTGAAGAACACTGGAAATGGACTGCCCATGATTGGTTTCCCATTGCACTCGATGTTCAACATATAATCTCCTCTCTTCGGCACAACATATGTCACTGAATATGTTCCATCTCCTATATCCTTCACCACACCTTCCTGATCTGATCCCCCAACGCCCATTCCTGGTGAAATCTTGACCTTAATCTGGGCGCCCCCAATCAGTACCTTCCTCCCATCTGCGTCCTTTGTCAAGACCACAAATGTGGAGGGATTGCAAGCTGTGCCACCTGCTATCCCAGGACCAGCAGCTGTGCACTTGGAAGGATCCACCGGGCCAATTGGTTTGTTCTCCAAGTCATTGTCATCCTCAAACTCACTGTCAGATGAAGCAACTGCTTCATCCTTGGTTTGGTTCTTCTCAACATCCTTGAATGTGGCCTCAAACGCTGCCTTTGCAGCTGCAGCTTTCTCAGCCTCACTCTTGATCTTGGCCTCCTCAGCTTGCTTCATCCATACAGTCTTTGGAGCAGTGGAGTTTGCCATTGATCAATTAAACCCAACTTCTATATATAAACCCAAGATGCTTAAATAAAAAGGGTCAAGAAGGCAAAAAGGCAACAGGCAAAACTTCAATTGAAAAACTGCTCCATTACTCAATCCATTTCAACAGACCCAGCCAAAAATTTCAAAACCCAAAAATAAAAAAGTCAGATTTCAAATTGAGGTTCTGCTCCATAAAGACAAAACGCATTAAATCCTAATTTGTAGGATTTTTTATGTAAACTTAGGGTTTCTTTTAATGTCCTCAAATCAGCCGAAACTAAAACCCTAGTTAAACCAATTCGAAGATTACTCAACACATGGATTATGAAAAAGTTTTTCGACTTCTTTTTGGTTTGAATAGATTGAATCACATGGTTCCTGAGAATTTGAATCGCAAATAAACAGTAGAGAGCGACTTCTTTTGCTTTGAATAGATTGAAGGAGAAGGAAGGGATGATCTTCAAGGGAGGATGTCGGCTTACCAGTAAGGTGCGGTGGCAGCTGCGCCGGCGGTGGCGGCGGATGTAGGAGGAATCGGAAGTGAAGATTGATTGCAAAGGCTGAGCCACTGCGGCATCCCACTGTCCGCAACTTTTTATCGTTGGCGAAAACAAATTTTTTTAAAATTTTAAATTATATTTTCTGCGACGAAAATGAAAAATGTGGTTAAAAATAAAGATATATTATATTAAAAATGTAACGAGTCCAAATATAGTATTATATATCTTAATTAAATTTTATTTATAATTCAGTTTAAATATCGTAATATTTTTAATATAAAAATATTTTAATTTTTATTCTTTTTAAAGTTATATTTTCTAAAAGATATTTTTTCTTTTTTTCGCCAAAGATATTTCTCATTTTTTCTCTTTCTTCACGGGCCGGAAACGTTATGGTCATTTTGGGGTTTTTATTTTTATAATATATTTTTAATTTGATTCATTTACATACAAATAAATTTTAAATATTATATTTATATAAAATTTTAATTAATTATTTTTTATTTTTAATAATTAAAATTTATTTATTTTTATTATATTTATTAAAAAATATATATCTTTTTTCACTTAAAAAATTATAATAAATTTTAATTATTTAAAATAAAAATAAAAATTAAAATTTTATATAAATATAATATATAAAATTTATATATAAATAGAATTTTCACTTTTTTAATCTATGGTGTTGTTGGGTTTTTGACCCACAACAAAAATGCCCAGTAATTAAATTAAGGCTCATTTATTCTAATTTTTTGGGCCATTTCTAAAGTCCAATTGAAAATCATTAATCAAGCCCATGACTGAAATAATTCAGGATTTGTCACAATTCATGGGTTTTAGGGTTGGTTTGAGAACACTTTTTCCGCTACTTTAAGTTTTTGATTTTTATGTATTTTATTATTTTAAAAATATATAAAATATTAATTAAAATAAATATAAAACATATTTTATATATTTTTAAAATCTTAAAACATCTATACATACAATTTCAAATCAGCCTTTTGAAACTAAATCCGAATAAAAAACTTGATGGAATAAAGTTCGGCCCAATCAACACAGCCCACATTAGTCCAAACAATATTTTTTTTCAATTTTGGGATGTTCATAGCTAGGTGGGCTAAGTCCAACAGTAAAATTTGACTCGAAATTGGGCTAAACCCAAGTAGGAAGGAATAGGCGAGGTTTTTCAGACACGAAGCCGAAGTCGGTTCATGCAATTCCGCGCCGTCTCTCTTCTCTCGGGGGAGGCCATCCCGCCATCGGAGGAACAAGAGAGATTCAGCGTAGATTTTCTGTGTATCAGGCGGAGTTCTCCGTTGCAGATTTTAAAATCATATCTCAAGAAGCGTCATACCTTTCCCTGATAACCAGTTCTTGCTCTAATGGCGACACTGTCTCATGCTCAGGCTGTGAAGTCCCTCAACAATTCTGGTGGTCGCAGACGCTTTGTTGTAAGCTCTTCTCCCACGCTTATATCTATTACAGGGTTTTAGCGGGGTTTAGTGGGTTTATAAGTGTATTAGTTATATATTATTTACATATGATTAAAACTGGTGAGCTGGGTTTTGAAGAAGGATTATGTTTAAGGTTCTGTTTCCATGAAGGATGTAGTAAAAGAGGAGAGAGTGTGGGCGGTTAATGCTTTACGATATGGGTTTTTGTTGGCAGGAGGGAGGGGGAACGGGAGAGTTTTGGGTTTGTTGTCTTCTCAGATCTCCTTCTTATGCTTTTTAAAGTTTTTCCATGGTTGCTAACTGCTTCGTGATTGATTATCTATCTGCAGTTCAAGACTTTCTCCCAGAGGGTAGGGGAAATTGACATCAATGTCTTCCGAAGCCTCGATAAAATTAAACCTGAGCCCTCGAAGGGCTCCTCGTTTCTTCTGGATTATCTCATTGAGTGGAGGGTATGCATGTTTCATGAATAAAATTTCCACTTTGTTTTGTTAGTGATGAGTTGAAGATGGTGCAAGTAGCTTTCTATTTTTTATCTGCATTTATGGAGAGAAATTTTAATGCAAGTTAGAGAATGATCTACTTCTTAATGCTTTTTTCAAGTCTTATGTTTTCCTTCAAAGACATGGTTTGGTATTGAATGTTATAGAAGCTTGGATTTTAAAGGGTAGAATGGTGTGTGGCAGTCAACATTCTCTTACCTCTTTCTAAGCTATATCACGTGAATAAAAAAAATTTCTAAGCCATCAGAAAATAATGATTGATAGAATGATCTTTTATTTTCATTGCTATTGATTATTGTTCTGTGTTTTCAAAATGCAGGAATTGAATACTGCAGAGGACTTCATTTCATTTTACGAGGAAATGATGCCTTTAGTGCAGACATTACCCTTAGTGCTGTTGCACAAGGAATTGATATTCTCTAAACTTATTTCCAGATTACACATGAAAGCAAGACTATCACTTGAACCTATTCTAAGGTAGGCAAGTGTGTTTGATCAAGTTTAAATAACCTAAAGAAAAAAAGAAAAAAGAAAAAAAATCCTATCATGTGATTTTTAACTATGAAAAAATTTCTGTCCTTGCAGATTGTTGGCAGCTTTATCTAGAGACCTACTTGAGGACTTTCTACCGTGAGTTTCTTCTTCTTTTGTTTGAAAATTTTCTTTTAGTGCATTGGCTCTTTTTTCGCGCTTGGTTCTATTGTCATATGGGTCAAATACTAAATATTCTTGGTGTTGGAATGAGATATTGCCCTCTGCTTATAAATTTCTCATCAGGTGTCAATTTTTTTTAATATATGTATATATATTTTATATAAATGATGCATGAAATAGAATCATCTATGTGGAATTGATGTTTTCTTTCAGTTATGTATAATTTCAATGCATCACCTTGGTCTGCTGTGTAGTACTGCATTACAGTTCAGGTCAATGACTATTTTTTAGTGGTTTTTATCAACAACAACGAAGTATTATGAGAAGATAGTTTAGGAATAGGATTTAATCTAAACTTGAGAATGGATGGTGTTCTACCTTGTGGAGTTTGATTCTAGAGAAAAAGGTTGAATTTTTTTCTTTTTTTCTTCTTATTCTTCAGTCTTTTTGATATTGGTGGTGACTGTCACATATAAAATCAATAGGTGAGCTATATTAAGGGCTGTTTAAAGTGGTTTATTTTTCTTATTTGTCTTAACAGAAACCGTTATCCATGATGCCACATTGTTATTAGTAATGACACTTTAAAAAATATAATTGATAGAGAAATAGTATGGATTCCTGGCTTTTGATCAACCATGAAGGTTATATGCCTTTTCCTTTTCCTGTAAAGAACCCAAGGTCTTGTTGCATACCAGGACAAGACAATTAGTGGTTCATGTGTATTTTAATTTTCCAAATTTTGAGGTTTTGTAATATGTTTGTCTGTTAGTCAGGCAGGCTTTATCTTGGTGACCTTCAGTTTTCATTTAATTCAGCTTTTAATTATGTCTTGTTTGCAAAATGATTGCATTCTTCTGGTATGGTTTCTTATGGTATGGTTTCTTATTACAGATAATAGTGTGGTGTTTGATGTGGTTTCATGGTCTTTGTCCAGTTTTTTGCCTAGGGTTGTTGATTCGTTGGTCTCTCTACTCAAAAATGGTGCAGATAGGGAGCCAGAGATCGTTGAGCAGGTCTAGGCTATGTTTTTGTTTTCCTTGAAATCTTGAGATGTTAACGTCTATCTCATGTTGGTGTATTCTAAACTTGTTCCCTTTTTGTGCAGGTTTTTATGTCTTGGTCATATATTATAATGTATTTGCAGAAATATCTCATACGGGAGATTGCATATATGCTCAAGTGAGTATTTTATTGGCAATCTTGTTTTAAAGAGCATTATGAGTCATAGGTGATTTATGTTACTGGATATTGCTAAGCAAACAGGCAGTTTTTCTTCTTAATGTTGCCTAGTTAGACTGTTAGATAAACTTCTAGGGCACAAGATGGCTTTATCTAACCAAGTTTTAAGTAACTTTAGAAAACAAAGAATTAAGAAGACACAATTTTTACATATTGTATTGAAGTGCATAAACTGTTCATGGGCTTTAAATAGAAAAGTTACAAATTTGCAATTCTACTAACCCATGTTCTTGAAGGCATAATACTTTTATTATGGTACATATGAGATCTTTGGAATATGTTTTCTTTCCATAATAATAAATTAATGATTATCATAGAGGAGCATAACATCTTTATCTGTCTAGATTGTTACTCTATTCAACAGCATATGAATATTCTGAGTACTGTTGCTTTTAGAATTTATAACTGTCTTTGTACTCATGCAGTGAGTCTCCTTCCTAAAAGCATAATTATGCAATGTGCTGTCTCTGTAAATAAAAATGTCTAATTCCAAAATTGGAGGATACAGAAGAATATATTGAGCACCCTTGAAATCCCCGAGAGAACTAGGAGGATGATTAAGTTCTTGCATATTTCCATCTTTTAGCTAGAACATTACCTATCATCATTTTAATTTTTAGGAGTTCGAAAAAAGAATAAGAAGAGAGGAACAGTTATTTCTTTCACTCCAGAAGTAGTCATGAGTCATGGTTTATATAATCTTTCTGAGTTACATGTATTCTATGTCTAATTTTTTGGCTAAAAAACAAGTAGCTTATATTCATTGTTTATTCTTATTTTTGGAAGGATTACTGTCAAATTAAGATATTACCCAAAGGATTATGTCCAAGAGTTTATGGCGGAGGCTACATCATTCTTGCTGAGGAATGCACCCATTGAGCAGCTCATAAAAGGTACTTTTGAACTCCATGTCGGTTTTAATTTAGTTCTAACAAGTTTTATTTTTTTATCATTATTATCTGTGAATTTTAATTCTGTCCACTTTCTACAAGAATTATTGAGATTCTAAGAATTTGTTGATCATGTATTAGTGCCTGTACATATCTCAACTACTCTCATGGCTAGCCAATGCAATGAAAAATTGACAATAGGTAGAATTAGTAATTTAAAAGCTTATGGGAGAATCTGATGGAACCTTTTTTTTTTTTCATATTTCCAGCACTTTGTAATTTTGTATGCATAAGAAATAGGTAAGGTTTGGCAATTTGCTGATGTTCTAATAGATATTTGATTTTCCAAATCCACCTATTGGAAATATCCTTTTGCTTTTGAGATTGCACTTTGACCCTTTGCATTTTGGGCTCATATAAAAGTTAGACATGCATTTCCTTTTTGGAAAGTTAACAAATTGAGGCTTTTTTAACTAGGAAAATATGCTAATGCTTTTAAATTTTACATGCATAACAAACATGATAATGAAATATTCAGTTAACAGGTATGAATATTGAGTGGTGTTGCTGATTTGGAGGGTTTGTGAAGAGTTTTCATGTCTGTTTTTTAATTGAAAACTAACAGTTCTAGCATTTTTCCTAATTGAGGAAACCACATGCGTTTTAAGTATCAAAAATGACATCAGCTTTGAGTTCCATTTGACACAAACCGATTACTCTTCCCATTAATTTCTTGTTTTTGTAGGGGATTGATATCTCATGTATTGTTTTGAAATAAATTTGACTTCTGATTAGGTTAATGTATATTTTCTGTTACTGGATTGCAACAGGCATCAGGAAAACCATGTTTGAAGTTGTTAAGAAACCATTGTCTCTGCGAAAGTCTGCAGTTGGTGCTTTGTTGTATTATACTATGTTGGGAACCTCATCAAGGTTTCATTCAGGAGCAGAGAGAGTTCTAAGGTTATTGGTGGACAATTCTGTCTATGAGATTGGTGATAGGTTTCCTGAAGGCAGGTTCTTTCTCACAAGCATTCTTGTATAAGTTATGTATGTTACTTATTTAATTTTAATGGGTTTTTTCTCCTTAACATTGAACAATTCGTATTCTTGAGTATGTTATGCTCTTTTGGTTAGAAGTCTTCTATCCTACTAATTGGTTGATGTGCGAGTTGTGCTTAGTTTGTTAGTCTATTTTTGTATCCAGGAGTAACCAGATAACTTTGCATCTGGTTTGTGTCTGTTGGTCCTGTTAAATTTAAAAAATTGGTTCATTATGCTTAGGCTTACAATTGTTATGTTTGAAAAATTGATATTTAAGCATTTAACTTGAAATGAAGAACTATTTGATGAAGACAGTATTAATATGCTGCTTCTTTGTTTTCTTGCATGGCTGTATTTTGTCCTTTTCTCATGACGTAGTCAAACAAGACTCAGTTGCCCAAACATTTAATCATTGGGAGTGACTAAATTGAAAATGGAGGTTAAGTGCAAGGTGCTCTAGTATTTGATGTGTTTTTAAACTTTCTAGGCACATATATATACACTAATTAAATAAATGTCTCTGGATGAATAGAGGTGTTAAGGTTAGGGTTGGTTTTCCTCTATAGAACTTTTTAAACTTTATTCTCACATCTATATGCCTACTTTTTTTTTTTTTTTTGGCCAAAATCTATATGCTGACTAAATGGATGAATTTAGGCAAATAAATATGTTAAGTTAGGGTTTTCCTTTATCAAATGCTGAAATTAATTGATTTTGCAATTGGTTTCTTTGAAGTCATGCAACCCTTGTAGCTTTTTATTTTTTTGAGTTGCCCTCTTCTCTAGTTTATTTGACATACTTCATGATTTTTAATTTCTTTCTCTAATCTTAGGACTTCCAATGTACTTTGATGGTGCTATCTTACTGTAGCATTGTTTAAATTGCTTTTATTGGCTGTAGGTTTGTGAATGATCTTCATTCACTGGATGATGATCTTGGGAATCTAGTTTATCCACAATTTCAAAGCTCTGTCTTACTCTTTCTTTTTCTTGCAGGTTCAGACAGTATTATTGAAGTTATGATTCTTGCCTTTGAAAAATTATGTCAGGGGCTAGAAACTGAGCAGTTAACCCTGATGTGGGAGTGCTTATATGAGGAAATAAGTGACTGCGTGTCCCAGGAAATGGGTGACTCTGTAACTAGTGGATCGTTGGTGCATCTAAGTCGTCTTTTGTCACTGCTTATTTCTACTGTTCAAGTTAATAGTGGGCGTGTTGTTTCTGGTAAGTTAAAAAATAGTCTCAGGCTGCTAGTTTTTTTCTTTTCTTGTTTGATAAACTTAGAATCTGATTGATGAACTGCCATGTAGATTATCAACAGATGCTTAAACTGGTTGGGTCACTGGTGGACAAATTTTTCTCACCTTCTAGTCAAAGAGGGGTTTATTTGTCTGAAGTTGTTGATAAGGTTCTGCTGCTAATGCTATGCATTCTTGATGGGCTCAAGAGTTCTAATGATGATTCGGCCATCACTGCATGTTCATTGCAATGGGCTCCTGTATTTGAGTTAAGGAACTCAAGGTATTGACATTAAGAGAAGTGCTTCGATTACTTTTAGCTGCTGGCTTCTTTTTATTATTATTTTTTTTTCTGACATGCTGTCACTTGCATCTCAGTTTGTTGACTTTTATAAGAGAACTATTGCTGAAGGACCCTTGCATAGTATATACATTCAGAGTTCATATATTAAGGTAATATTGACCTGTTGTTAGATAATTTTTCTTCCTGATTTGAGGTATGGTTACTGTATCTTGAACGTCTCTGGTTGAATTTCCAGTGCCATGAATCACTTGATAGAGTCATCGGCAGAGGAGGTTATATTTCTGTTACTGTCTTTATGTGAAAGATTGCAAATGAACTCTCAGAATTCTGGCTTCTTAGATGGGATACCTGAAGGGAGACTTTCAAAGATTTGTGATATGATGCAAGGGGCTATTCAAAACTGGATCAGGATTGTAAAAGATACTGCTGTTGGGGATACATCATGTACTCAACTTGATAAGTCCAAGATGGCTGTGTTGTGGGGAATCATCCGGTGCTATCCTCACATGTTATACATCCAAGAAGGTTCATCTTTGCTGTTGGATCTGGTAAATGCACTTGAGCAGCTTCTGATGATTGAAGATGGTAAGTGATCCTTCTTTTTTTGCTGTTTATGAACTCTGAGACTTTGTTTGTCATTTTTTCCATTGTCCTTAGGAAAATATGCATTTGAATTTTCATCCTTGATGATATTATTAGACATTTGACTCTATTTGTTGGCTTTGACCAGTTAAAGCCTGCTGAGTTTATGTATTTTGTAATATTTATTTAACTAGTTTCTCCATTTTTTGTCCTTTTCTTTCAGAAACTATTGCGGGTGTTAGCAAACACAGTTGGCAGAGCCTTGTTGGTGCAGCTTTAAGCTCCTATAACAAATTTCATTATGGTGAAAAAACTGATTCTGTAGGAACAAGCAAATTATTGCATCTTGCCAAGGCCTATAAATCATCTCCGCAAGTATTGTTATCTGTAGCTGATTACTTGGATAATTTGAATGGGTAAGTTGTTGTCCAGGCATCTATATATTTCTAAATTATATTTTTACAACTGAGATTTGGCTGTTGTTATCATGTTTGTATTTGTGTATCATGCTTGCTGATTGTGGTTGGTGTTTGAAATCTGTAAAACAAATGATAGGCCTGCCTTGCAAGTGGATGGTGAGAAGAAAATATATCATGCTGAACTTAAAGCAGAAAATGCTGTGGATTCATTAGGCATATTTGCAAATAATTTGTGCCACTCAGACAAGGGCATTCGTATTCCAACTTTAAGGGTTTTGTGCCATTATGAACCTCTAAGTTGGGAAATCTCTTCAAAGGATGAGCTAGTTGATAAGAAACTGAAGACAGAAGTTTCTCAGGCTTGTATTGTGGGTGGTGAAGGAGACAATGTACGATCATATATTGTATTTGTTATTATTTGACACCAGTTGATCAGAAGAACTAATGCTTACTTTTCCCCTCCAAAACAGGTTCTTCAGCTCCTCCTTTTGATCGAGACAACTCCACTTTCAGTGTCTACCAGCAGGAAAGTTAGCCTATTGATATCTAAAATTCAGATGGGCCTCTCTTCTGGAAGGATACCTGAAACATATATTCCTCTTGTTTTGAATGGGATAATTGGCATCTTCTATAACCGTTTTAGCTATATATGGGAACCAGCATGCGAGTGTCTTGCAGTTCTCACAAGCAAGTATGTTGGACTTGTTTGGGATAAACTTATTGATTATTTTGAGGAATGTCAATCCCTTGTTCAGACATGCTTTGCTCAACTTGACAGAGTTCATCCTGACTTATCTGACACAACTACTGGTATGTGAGAGCTTGCTTCTTTTTTTTATTAGATTGATTTTTGTTTGTGTCATTTGATCTTTCATGTTGACGGTAGAAATGTTGTATATATTGTGGAAAACGGTGTCTGAGATATTTAATTTAACCTTCTTCTCCCACAGCATTTGAATGGATGTCTAATTTTATCTCTGGTTTGTTCTCCAGATCTGATGGGGCATTTTAATTCTTTTGTTAATCCTGCATCTGATAGAACACCATGCACGACAGTCTTGTCCTTATTGCTTCAATCTTTACAAAAGGTTCCATCTGTTGCTGAATCTCGATCCCGGCAAATTGTACCTCTATTCTTAAGATTTTTGGGCTATCAAACTGATAATCTTGTGAGGTAGTCAGCTCCCAGAGCTTTAACTTTTGATGGATGTCTGATTCTCTAAGTTTTTAATGATATCAAAGTAAATCATCCGATGTAGTTTGCGTTCTATTTAACCTTGCAGTGTGGGATTATTTAATCATCGTACCTGTAGAGGAAAAGAATGGAAGGGTGTCCTTAAAGAATGGCTAAACTTGTTGAAACTGATGCGGAACTCTAAATCATTTTATCAAAGTCAATTTCTAAAGGACATTCTACAAAATAGGTTGGTACTGTTGGAAGTGCTTTATTGTGGTTAGCCTCTTGCAGTCTTGCTTCATATATATGTTATTTGTTGTTGAAGTTCAATATCTCACTTGAAATAGCTTTAATGAATTCCTTTTTCTGTGCCTACCAGGCTTTTGGATGAAAATGATGCTGAAATACAGATGAAGGTTCTTGATTGCCTTCTATTGTGGAAAGATGACTTCTTGCTCCCTTACGAGCAGCATCTAAAAAATCTAATCATTTCAAAAAATTTGAGAGAAGAATTGACCACATGGAGTTTATCTAGAGAAACAGGTTTAATTGAAGATGGTCACAGGGCTAATCTTGTGCCTGTTGTTCTTTGTCTCTTGATGCCAAAAGTTAGGAAATTAAAGACACTTGCTTCTCGAAAGGTATGGTTGATTGTATATATCCCTTTGATCTTTTTAATCTCACCATGGTAGCCCATTGGGCTTCCAACTCTTTTAGCAAAGTATCTATTTTAATTCTTCATTTTATCATCACCACCTACTATATTTCTGAATGTCATGTTTTTTTGTTTGCAGAATGCAAGTGTACATCATCGGAAGGCAGTTCTTGGTTTCATAGCTCAGGTTGATGTTCACGAACTCCCTCTTTTTTTCACATTGTTGATCAAACCCTTGCAAATTGCATCAAATGGACCTGATTATAACAACATGTTGTTTTGGGCCTGCCCGCAAAGTTCTATTAATGAATTTCAAGCTGTTGATTGTCTGAAATATTTTACCATGGAAAATATAACTGCCCTGTCTTGGAAGAAGAGATATGCCTTTCTGCATGTAATTGAGGATATTCTTAATGTTTTTGATGAAATGCATGTCGGACCCTTTCTTGATCTCTTAATGGGATGTGTTGTTCGGGTTTTGGTGAGCTGCTCTTCAAATCTTGACATTGCCAGGGGTGCTAAATCTTATCAAGAAGAAAATTTTTCTAGTGTCAAGCTGACCTTAGAACAAGATGTTAACAACACTGCAGATCATGTGCTGGTAATGCTTTCTATCCACTAAAAATGTTGATTTTCTTTACTTGCTCTACAAGTTTATTTGTAGGTGTTCCCATCTTTCAATACTTACTTCGCTTTTAAATTGAAATAGTCTAACAAAATAGATGTGTTTTGTTTTATTCTAGTTAATTGATCAAGGGGATCTCTTTTATGATTTATATTCATCATGCTTTCTCCTTTTCCTTGACTCTTCTAGCTAAAGCAGATGAAAAATTTTCCACAAAAACTAGATTTTTTCTTTTAAAGTGATGTTGCTGCTCTCTAATAATGATATTATTATTGGTTCATACACAGACAAGCACAGCGGTCAAGCAGTTCAAAGACTTGAGATCTTTAAGTCTGAAAATTGTCTCTCTTTTCCTCAACAAGTATGAAAATCATGATCTTGGTTGTGAATTCTGGGACCTATTTTTTGTGTCCGTGAAAGCTTTAATTGATGGTTTCAAGCAGGAGGGTTCTAGTAGTGAAAAGCCAAGTTCACTTTTCTCTTGCTTTCTGGCTATGAGTAGAAGCCACAAGCTTGTATCTTTGCTGTGTAGGGAAAGTAATCTTCTTCCTGATATATTTTCAATTCTGACTCTCACAACTGCATCAGAAGCTATCATATCTGGTGTTCTGAAGTTCATTGAGAACCTGCTCATTCTTGATAATGAGTTGGATGCTGAAGACGTTGCTAACCAAAGAGTTGTACATCGACATCTTGAGGCACTTGTCAGCAGTTTGCATTGTCTTTTTCAGAGTGATAATGTATCTAAGAGGTATGAAGCTTCTATCTGGCATGAGTTTTATTACAGTTTTTTGATATTAGAAGAGTGGAAAAATATAAGGGAACCATTTTTAATTACTTCTTTCAGGACCAGAAACTGATATCATGCATTATGTTAAGTGGGAAAATCCCACATCCTTGTATTAAGGGGGTGCCTGGACATAAGTACTGTTTGGACTACACCACCTATTGCCAAATGGGTGTTTGGCTGGATGTTTACATTATGTAAGACTACAAAAGGAAAGATATTATTAGATTTTGAGCTGACCTTCAAACAAGTGAATGGTAACAGTTTACCCATGACTAGTGTACCCAAATCTCAGTTGAAATCCATAATTTAGGAAGTTGAAATTTGACTAAATGCTACCTTTTGTCAATTGAAAATAATGAAGTTAATATTTGTTTGTGAGATAGGATCTTCTTACACACAAGTCTCACACAAAATCATAGCCATTCATTTTTCACTGAGTGGTTGAGATTCATCACAACTTTTGAGATGAAAAGATACTTAACTTTAAAAAAATAGGATAAAAAATGAATAAATTTTAACCATTCATACTGGAGAGATGAACAGCCAGATTTTGTGTAAGAGTTATGTGTTAAACTTGTGTGTAAGTTGATTCCAACTCTTTTTTTGTTTAGTTGCAATCATAATGAAATAAGGTGAAAAATACTGTGAACAAAAGGTAGAGGAAAAATACTGTGCTTAACTAACCTTTGTTTGTAGCATTTTTTCTAATATTTATTTATTAGAAAGGGATAAGAAATGGTTACTTGCATCCATAGTTTAGTCAGGATGTTAGGGTGAGAATGGAAGTCTCTCCCTTAGTAGCTGCCCTTTCTGGTTTCTGCATCTCAACATTGCATATTTAAGTTCGTCTACTTTTGAGTTGAAATTTCTGCAGCAGGTTGAAAAGCTCATGGCCATTTCCTTGATCTTTTCTCTCTCTTTAATATTTATACATACATATATATATATTTTTATCAGGAAAATGGTCAGGTGTCCTGGGGAAACAGAAATTACAATTTTCAGATTGTTATCAAAGCACATAAAGGATTCAACCCTGGCAAAGAAATTTGTTGATATCCTACTTCCATTCTTATCCAAGAAAGTTATAGGTTCTGGTAAGAATCTTTTCAAAAATTTTAGTATTGATGCAATATATTTTCTTTCAACAATTAATATGTCTGTAGCTGGTTCTGCAGATGTCAGTCTTGAAGCCATGCAAGTTCTTCAGGATATCATACCTGTTTCAGGGAGTGGTAGTACCAAACAAATCCTTAATGCAGTTTCTCCACTTCTTGTCACTGCTGAAATGGACATGCGGCTGTGTATTTGTGAACTACTTGAAGTGCTCTCAAAATCAGATCCTTCTACACTTGTAGTGGTAATTGTTGTCCATTTGTTTATTGTTGATCTTTGAATTTCTTATCAGAGGTCATCTTTTCCCTATCAATTTCATGATTTTCATAAATTATACTTTCAACTTGCAGGCTAGACTTTTGGGTCGATTAAATAAAATGTCTGCTGTGGAAATGGGTGGACTTGATTATGACATCATCATCAGTGCATATGAAGATATTGGAGTTGGATTCTTTTATACCATCCATGCGGAACATGCATTGCTAATTTTGTCACATTGTGTATATGACATGTCAACAGAAGAATTAATGTTGAGGCACAGTGCTTATAGGTCATTACTTTCTTTTGTTGAATTTTCTGCCCAAATTCTTAGGCAAGAAGCTACTTGTCACCATGAAACAGCTGAAGGGGCAATGGAAGTTGATGAAAGTTATTGGACAGCAGCATGTGTGAATCGCATAATAAACAAGTTCCTGTTGAAACATATGGGTGATGCAATGAGCCTTGGAAGATCTGTTAAGAAGGTATTTGAATTTGCATTTCTTCAGTCTTCTGCCATGAAAGGATATACTACTAACCAACTGTCTTGATACTTTTGAGGCTGTGTTATTTGATGTCAGTGTTGCAAAAAGTGCTGCCTAGATGGTGAAGCTAGGTGTTTCTCTTATTTTTTAGATTTTCTGATTAATTTTGGCATTTTTTTGCAAGAAAGGAAAAATGCCTAGAGTGCTTAGGTGGCACCTGGCGTTGGCCAAACACCCACCATTGCCTTGCACTTTTTGCAATACTGTTTAATGTAGACAATTTCTTCAGAGCCAGTTGTGGCTTTCAAAGTGGCTTCTTAGCAATAACTTGGTTTTCCCAATGAATGGTGGTTCCAGGAATGGATTGATTTACTACGGGAAATGGTGATGAAGCTTCCAGAAGTAGCAAATCTTACTTCCATCAGAGCTCTCTGCTCTCAAGATGCTGAAATAGATTTTTTCAACAATATCATTCACTTGCAGGTTATTTCCTTGCATTATGTCTTTATATGGTTCTATGTTTATGAAAATATCTTCTTCTTTTTCTCTTTTATTTATTTATTTTTTGAAATTAACAAGTTCTGTGTGCTTGTATGCAAAAGCTTAGCTATCAATTTGTAATATTCTCCCTTGTAACCTGCCAGTTTCTACTTCAGCAACAAGTTAATATGCTGAATTGCTTTCCCATTAATTAATTTCTTCCTTTTTTTTTTTTTTTTTTTTTTTTGTTATTTGCTCTTACAGAAACATAGAAGAGCTAAGGCTTTGTCACGCTTCAGGAATGTTGTTAGTAAAAGCAACTTGTCAGGGGTATTTATGTTGAACTCCTACTTTTCTAACTTTACAAATTTCCTTATCAAGTCACTAAGACTGGCTATCCTGCTTATTCCTTTCAGGTGATTATAAGCAAAGTGTTCATTCCACTGTTTTTCAATATGTTGTTTGACATACATCATGGAAAAGATGAACATATCAGAACGGCATGTGTGCAAGCCCTTTCTTCAGTTTCTGCTCACATGGAATGGAAGCCATATTATGCATTATTGATTCGATGCTTTCGTGAGATGAGGATGAATCCAGACAAGGAAAAGATTCTGCTGCGGCTAATTTGCGCAATTTTGGACCAATTTCACTTCTCACAAATTTGTGCTGGTCAAGGGGCTAGTATTTCTTCAATTCCACAAAAATGTGATAGCTCTATTATAGATCCTGAGATACAGACATGCCTTCATAAAACTGTGCTCCCAAAGATACAGAAGTTGTTGAATTCAGATTCTGATAAGGTAAATGTTAATGTCAGTCTTGTGGCACTCAAAGTACTGAAGTTGCTTCCTGAAGGGATAATGGACTCGCAGCTACCAACCATTGTTCATCGTATATCAAACTTTCTGAAGAGTCGTGTAGAAAGTACTCGTGATGAAGCTAGGACTGCACTGGCTGATTGTTTGAAGGAGCTTGGACTCGAATATCTGCTGTTTATTGTTCAGGTTTTGCGTGCAACCCTGAAGCGGGGATTTGAGCTGCATGTTCTTGGATACACACTTAATTTTCTTTTATCCAAGACTCTTCCAAATGCCATTAGTGGGAAGTTAGACTATTGTTTGGAAGATCTCCTTTGTGTGGTGGAGAATGACATTCTTGGGGATGTTTCTGAGGAGAAAGAGGTGGAGAAGATTGCGTCTAAAATGAAAGAAACTAGGAAGTGCAGATCTTTTGAAACTTTGAAAATGATATCACAAGGCATAACCTTCAAAACTCATGCTTTGAAGCTACTAAATCCTGTTACCACTCATTTGCAAAAGCATCTGACACCAAAAGTGAAAACAAAATTGGAGAGCATGTTAAATCATATTGGACTTGGTATTGAATGCAATACATCTGTAGATCAGACTGATCTCCTCATCTTTGTGTATGGTCTCATAGAAGATGGGATTAATGAAGAAAATGGTTATCGAACTGATGCTAGTGAGAAACCTGTTTCTTCAGGTGCTAAATCTGTAAGTTCACATCTTCTTACAGTCTTTGCTCTTGGGGTTTTGCAAAATAGAATGAAAAACATGAAATTGGACAAGAATGATGAACAACTTCTATCAATGTTGGATCCATTTGTGAAGCTGCTTGGTAGCTGCTTGAGTTCCAAGTATGAAGATATTTTATCTACATCCCTTAGATGTCTTACTCAAATGGTAAGGTTGCCACTGCCATCCCTTGAATCACAGGCTGATAAGTTGAAGTTGACGCTATTGGATATTGCCCAAGGTTCTGTAAATCCTTCCAATCCTCTAGTGCAGTCATGTCTGAAATTGTTAACCGTGCTTTTATGCAGCACCAAAATTACCCTCTCCTCAGATCAGTTACATCTATTGATCCAATTCCCAATGTTTGTGGATCTTGAAAGGAATCCATCTTTTGTTGCCCTTTCGCTTCTAAAGGCAATTATCAATCGCAAGCTAGTTGTTCATGAGATCTATGATGTAGTACTTCGAGTAGCAGAGTTGATGGTAACAAGTCAAGTGGAATCAATTCGCAAGAAATGCAGTCAGATTCTGTTGCAATTCTTGCTTGATTATCGTCTTTCAGAAAAACGTTTGCAGCAACATCTGGATTTTCTTCTAGCTAATCTAAGGTATTCATCTGACAATAATATGAACACTTTGGTTCTTTTTACCTTTAAAGTCCTCTAATTACTTATCCACTCTTATAGGTATGAGCATCCAACTGGGAGAGAAGCTGTGCTTGAAATGCTCCATGCAATTATAATAAAATTTCCAAAAAGCATTGTGGATGAGCAATCACGGACATTATTTGTCCATTTGGTTGTTTGCCTGGCTAATGATCAGGATAATAAAGTCCGCTCTATGACTGGTGAAGTTATAAGAGTTCTTATTGGCCATATTAGCCAGAACTCACTAAATTCCATTCTTGAGTATAGTCTCTCTTGGTACTTGGGTGAGAAGCAGCAATTATGGAGTGCAGGTGCGCAGGTAAGGTTTTCTGAAGGTGCTTTTAAATATATGCATAAGGATGCAATTTGGCCTGTATTTTTTGGGTTTCAGAATACATTTAATTGCAGAAACTCAGCATTACATTGCAGGCTTAAGATAAGGAAAGCATAAGGAATGAAATTCATAAGAGGCGAATTTTACCTTGTGTCCCATGAAATGCTGTTTCTATATGTTATTACAGATTGACCTAGTGTATGTTACTGGTGTTAAATGTCAGTCAACTTGGGGAAGATTTTAGTGTGAATAATCCTTTTTTTTTTTGGTTCAAATAATCCTTATATTCTTTTCTTTTTCCAGTTTAAAATCTATTGCCTGTTTTTTTGTAGAATTATCTAGATTAAATCTGTGCATCATGGATTTTTATTTTTGAGTTCCTTATAAATGCTAAAAAATAATATACTTATGCCTTGGTAAACATTTGGCCTTTAGTTGTGGAATATTTTACTGCTCCAGGAAATTCACCTTGCACTGGTGATGTTGTTAGTAGTTGGAACTAATTATGCATATAATATCACAAAACAGGTTTTGGTTGTTTGTGAATGTCTTTGATCATTTTTAATCAAAAAGTGCCTTTTCTCCTTTAAATAGACTCAATAAACATACGGTGTTGACTAATTTATTATACTGAGTAAATTATATGTTTGGATCTGCAAATTATATTTTCTTTTCTCATGCTTGGTACCCATTTTTGAATTTCATGGTAATTTATTGTATTTTAGGTTTTTCATTCGCTTATTTACATTTGTTTGTTGATGGTTTTGGATGTCTATGTGCAGGTTCTGGGATTATTGGTTGAAGTCCTTAAGAAAGGCTTTCAAAGGCATATCAATAGTGTATTGTTGGTAACTAGAAGTATTTTGCAGTCTGCTGTCAATGTTTTTAATGATGGGCAACTTGGCCTTTGTGAAGCTACCATTCCTTGCTGGAAAGAGGCATACTATTCTCTAGTTTTGTTGGAGAAGATGCTACATCAGTTCCCTGGTTTAACCATAGAAAAGGATCTAGAGGTATGGGCCATATGGCCTAGTTTTTGTATCCTGTATTAGAAATGTTTCTTTGGTTATTATAATGTCTCCGAGGGTTCTGCCTAGTTGTGCCATTTACCATGAAACTTGTTCTGATAATGTGATGGCTTGGAAAATCCAAGTGTAGACATAGGTTATTGAATATTGTAGTTAGATACTCTTTTAGGGTCATCAAATGTTGGTATTAAAAGCCGTGGTGGAAATAGTCAGTCTCAGAGTTATGTATTTGCAAATAAGCTACTCTTGGTGGAGAAATCAAGATTGTCTAGAGTGTCAGACTTTCCAATTGTTTAGCATCGATCCTGTTAGCATGCTATTTTTTGACTGTCAACGCCCAATGCTTTATAAAGCATAATTGGTCATATGGTTTATATATTTTCTTTCATCTGGTAAGGTATCCTTAGTGTTCACATGGCATGTGTTTATTTCATCCAATTTTATACTGATACAACAAGCATCCTTTTCAAGCTCTACTTGATAGTATTCTTAACTAATGTAGTCATGCACTTTACTGACTGAGATAAAGCTCAAGTGCATGGCAGAGTATTCATGGTTATTCAATTTAACATTGTGGTATTTAAGTGTGCTATTTCTAGTAAAAACTCTTGTTATTTGTAGCATCTGTAACTTGTGATTCTCTTTGTTATTTGTCTGGCATAATTTTCAGGACATATGGGAAATGATTTGTGAGTTACTGTTGCACCCACATACATGGCTGCGAAATGTATCAAGTCGACTTGTTTTCTTGTACGTCACCACTGTGACTGATGCTACTAAAGAAAATCCCCGAAAGTCATTTGGAGCATTTTACCTTATGAGGCCAAGCAGACTTTTTATGATAGCTGTTTCTCTCTGCTGCCAGCTGAAAGCACAGATCATTGATGACACAGCCAGCAACCTGATTATAGAAAATCTTGTGTCTGCAATTTGTTGTATCCATTCTTTGATGGGAGAGTGGGCATCTGCAGGTCCTGCAAAGTTCTGGTCTACTCTTGAACAGCATGATCAAGGCCGCTTTCTTAAGGCTTTCCAGTTGCTTGACTCACGACAAGGAAAGGCAATGTTTTTGTCCATTACCTCTGGTTCACTTGACCAAAATCTTACAGATGACTCTGAAGATGTCCGCCATCTGCTTGTCTCCAATTTGCTTAAAAAGATGGGAAAGCTCGCTCTTGAAATGGAGGCAGTTCAGGTTGGTCTTCTTGATTAACATATTAAACTCAATTTTTATTTTTTTCTTACATGAATAAAATGTGGTTTGTTTTTTTTCTTCTTGAAATATTTAGTGTTAATAAATCTAATATTTGCATGCAGATGAGAATTGTCTTTAATAGTTTCCGAAAAATTTCACTACAAATCGGTCCAGATGATTGTGGCCAATATGCATTGCAAATGTTGATACCTTTATACAAAGTTTGTGAAGGATTTTCTGGGAAAACTATTGACGGTGAGTTTGGTCTTGCTATCTGTTCCGCTTTCTTTAGTTTTATCACTTCATATAATACTCGATCAAGTGGATTAACGTTCATCTCATATTCTCAGATGATCTAAAGCAATTATCACAAGAAGTTAGCGAAAGTATACGAAATACCATAGGTATCCAGGGTTTTGTACAGGCTTACAGCGAAATCAGCAAAAGTCTCAAAACAAAGAGGGACAAAAGGAAACGTGAGGAAAAGGTCATGGCTGTCGTGAACCCAATGCGGAGTGCTAAAAGGAAACAGAGGATTGCGGCAAAGCACCGTGCTAATAAGAAAAGGAAAATTATGACAGTGAAAATGCAAAGATGGATGCGGTAGGAACCCAAACAATCCAAGATGCTGTCAAGTAAATGCCCCTGATATACGGCACGCTGTATATAGCTGCGATAATGAGCTATCAGTTGTTGTAACCTTCATTATCTTTTAGGTCCATAATTTTTTTTTTTTTTGCATGTCATTTATTTCCGTCTCTCTTGAAGAGACCAACGTGATTAATGATTATTAAAAATGAAGAAAAGCTCTCCATTGAGCGGTTTTGGCATTCTTCAGTCAGGCTTTTGCAAAACATTGGCAATGTGTTACAGAGCCCAATTACGTATGTTGGATGGAGTGTCTCTAGTTCTTCTCATTGATAATTTGATTGTACCTCAGGAATGTTTTTTTTTTTTCGAGTGTGTGAAAAGAGTTATTAAATACCATATAGTGAATAAGAAATAGTGTTTATTATTTAAAAAAATTATTTTAAAATTATATCATTTTAAT